AATGATTTGTATTCATCATATAATGTGACTAAGGTAATTTAACCATGAAAAACGAAACAGGTAAGGACACGATGTCCACAATTGAGGATGAAGAATGCCTAAGAAGATTTTTGATGGATAACCTCAAGGACGAAGAGTGCTTGAAAAATCTAGGCGTAGGTGGAAGGATAATATTAATATTGGACCTAAAAGAATAGGGTGGTAGGATGAGGAATATATTGACTTGGCTCATGATAAAGTCCAGTGCAGGGCCTTTGTCGACATTAAAATGACCCTTTGGCTTTAATAAAGGCTGTAATTTCGGAACAATTTTACCGACTAGCCTAGTATGGAATTTATATAGTTTAGAGTGACGTGATAATGAAGGGGGAACAGAGAAATATTTGGAAGGGGGCAACAAGAGTGTATTTGAAGATTCTATGAAAATATTTAATTGGAAAGGTACTTTGAAGGCATACGAAAAACCCGAGGATAATGTTTCAGAAGAGAGTCGAATCTGGTGCAGGAAGAATAAATATAAAAAGAAATGTATTTCCGACATTATGCTTAGTGGAAACAATTGTGACATTTTCAGAGCAAAACTAATCCAGTGTTCTTCTGTTAACAGTTGCTGAGCTATTCGAGAAATTCCCTTTCTGTTACGGAACTTGAATCTTCGTTATCATATTCACAAGTGCTTGTCCCTGGACCCTGTCCTGAGTCAGATGTATCTCGTCCACACCATCACGTCACGCTTTTAAAATTCGTTTTAATATTATCCTTCTATCTAAACATTGAAACGTATTAGTTGATGAAGTGTCTTTATATGAAACAAGATGCGGCGAAGCAGTGGCGGTAATTTACGGCTAATGTGACATTGAAATTTATGGACTAGCAGCTTCCTTTCTTTACAGCGAGCGTGTCGCTCGATTGGTTTGTCGGAACATTCCTGTATTCTGATTTTCTGAATTCCAGCATATCATGCACGGCCACGTGGACTTGCAGCTAGACGAGTAAGTACGTCACGCCTCGCTAAGCCCAATCTCTTCTTTCCCGTGTAAGTGTGTGTGTGTGTGTCTCTCTCTCTCTCTCTCTCTCTCTGCATATAAATCACCTTGTTATAACTGCTCGCCAGATGGAAGCACCGACGACCTTTAAAGTAAAGCAATTATAATGTTCTGCTGTCATTCTCCCAACATTATCTTTCATTGCACTCTTATTTCTATTAAACACATTGCCACTGCGTCTTCCCAGATGTACCAGACATCTGAATGTATTTAACCCAGACCAGACTGCTGTCTGATGTATTGATCCGTCCTGACACTTGAGCCTGTGTCCTTCCTTTGTTAAGGGCGAAGGGAACAGGCATTCTTAACCTCAGTTGTCCATTGATAACCCAAGAAAAAGGAATTTTCTAAGGATTGAATATTGGTTTATTTAACGATGATTCTTCAACTGTTTTGGACGTGTACAGTCGAATGGTAGACTGGTTGCGAGTGATGAATTGAAAGGATGCATAGAATCTGTCGTGGCAAGTGTTTGAATACGGAGCAGGAAAACTACGAGGATCTTAGTCCAAATACGACTCTGAGCTGGGAATCGAACTCAGGATCTCTCGAATATAAAAGAGAGTGTCAATTAATAAACTTCGACGTTCGGTTGGAGCTGTTAAAACCAAGATACTGCATCTCTGGTTGCTTTAAATGGTTCGGCTGATTTAATTATAACGCGGGGTATTGTAAGATTAACGTATGGTACCAACACAATAGTGGAGTAGCCACAAAAGGATACAAATCCAGAAATTGTTTTGCATATTGATCTTGATTTTGGAAAAAAGGAAAAACATTTCTGAGGCTGGATGTCTTTGTCTTCAAACCAAAGGAAAGCATATACTATACTGTATGAGAGTAGTTAGATATGGGGGCTAGAATGGCTCTGTCTTTAGGTAAAAGTAAATGGTAGACGTACCTAACATGTACTGAAGATAAATAGAAGCTCTTTATAATATGTACTTTATAAAGGACATTAAAACCACCTTGGCAGTTAAGATGCGCTATATGTTGTGGTTTTCGTATAGCAGAGATGTCGCGCGATTTTTCACTTGTTTATTTTATATATGATATTTTAATTTCGTTTTTCAGAATGTTAATCGTACAACACTGACATAACGTACGGTACAGCTATTTTTTTTACTTGTTCAACTTTTATTTTAAACATGTTTCGATATTGTGTGTATATATAAACACACACACAAACATAATCATGTAATGTTGTACCTTTAAAGTTATTATCATGTAAGAGTAAACATTTGTTTTTCAACATGAAGGCTTGACTTTTGTGATATGCAGTATCATTAGAAAGGAGCTGTGAAAAATGTTACAGGTTACACCTGTTTTAAACACGGCGATACATTATCTTAAATATGACATAACAGAAACGTATCCTTGGAATGTTTTACAATAACAGGATTTTTCTGAACAAAAGTTAGTAGACACTGATTTATATGATTTGTGTTCTTTTTTCAGACTTTTCCGCCTTCATCGTTTGATGGTGAGTAGACGTATTTTACGTATAAAATAATTCAAATTTTAAAAACTGAATTGTATCGAATTATTACGAATATTTCCATTATCACATGCTTTCATCCGTCTTAATGGAGAGGCAAGCCTGGCCGTAAGAAATTGTTAATTAATCGATTCCCTTTTAATTTATGGCACATTATGTGTGTTTTTAAAATGGTACATGGAAACTGTGTGTTTCCGAACTGACCGGGCAGAAAGAATGCAAGCGAATGTGTAATGTCGAGTCCTGGGAATTTTTGGCTCCCATAAATAAATAAATATATATATATTATTGTGTTCGACCGGAAATCGCATATAAATGTATTTATTACACCAAAAATATGGTGAGAAACATTGCCTCAGGATAATGTGTTCTGTAGTAAAACACTATCCGCATCTGATCCAACTTTGTACTCATCAGATATACACGAGCTACGTTTTGTAATACTGCGTAGTGATGATAAATAATTGGCCATTTACGAAATTGGGTCATTATAGGTGTAGCGCCAGAACTTTATTGTTTGAGAATAAGACAGAGTTTAATGTCATCTATATAGTGTAAACCAATGTAATATTTTGAGTCGTTTATACCATCATATACAACGTAACGTATGTGAATTGTTACTTGAATCAAATAAGTATAGTACGGGAATTAGTGCTGACGACAAGTACACATCGAATGCCCGTTATTCTTGCTATGCTCCGTCCCGTTATTGTTTATTATTATTATTTCTCATATCAACGTTTTTTTCTTTGTCCTGGAACTTATTTTCTCTCGAACCCCACCACTAAGGCTACAAGTTCCAGACTGTAGCTCTTTCGATATTATGTGCGATGTTCCTACAATGGCTGTTTTTTTTGTACAGTGCCTATTGAATGCTTTCGTGGTATTTTTTCCCGAATATTATTATAGTCCCTCAGTTACAATTCCCGTGAGCCCAATGATTACCGTTATGACAAAGCATTTCATATTCCACATTCGCAGAATTTCCACATTTATATTTTTGTATTCTAATTTCTTTTCGGTCTCATTTTATATTGCATTCCTCTCCGATTATATTGCCACGTCTATCAGTAAGCATGATTTAATTATTATGTTTGGCCTATTTGCCAGAAGAACCTTTCTATCTGTTTGTATCGAATGATCCATAGTACTGCTGCATCTTCATGTTCACATATCATCATTATTTTTATATTATATGTTATTTTCTTGTTCTGATATTGTAATTGACTCTTGTAGTTCTTGAGTTCTCACGTTCAAATAACGCTTTTGTATGTCTGAGGGTAGCTGAATCAGGTACCCAACAAATAGTTTATCATCTTCCTCTTTACCTAATTAAGAAGATAGTGTAATTGCGTCATGTTGTGAATATTATAACAATTATTTATTTTAATCCGTCTGATCACAATATTTAAAATTTCTTATAATTAAGATAATAAAATATCATTCATGTTCCATATCGATTGATCGATTTACATTTCGGAACATTTACACAATATGTTTCAGTTTTTATAAAACCATCATCAGGTGTAAAATATATCTAAGAACTTAAAACTCAATTATGATTTCTGTAGTTTTTTGGTGATGTTTCATTACGTTTGTTTTTCCATTTTTGGGCGAAGGTGTTATTAAGAAAGCAATATACATCTTGCAGAAGGCTGTTATTTTATAATTTAGACGATGGGAAAATTCTGAACTAACGGTTTACGTATTATAATATACCATCGTTAGAAACTTTCGCGTTAGAAACCCTAGAGCTTCTGAAAGGATTCTAGTAAGATTTTATGTTGCGGATTTGTCGACACATTTCAGTTGCGGTTACATCAAATAATAGGCACTTCACATAAAGACCATTACAATGCTTGTCCAGATTGTTTTAATGTAGGATGATCCATTTAAAACGCATGAACCCGTTCACGCACAAAACGACGAAACCAGAGGCAGCGCTGAATTCTTGCAAGATATATCTTGTCGTTGCATCTGATGCACTGTTTTATCTGTTGTTATTTTTGTCGATAAGCATTTGTCTCAGACAAACTCTTCCGGTGTCCCGAATTTTGTTACTAGACTGTGTATTGTTGTCATACTCGGTACTTCCTTGTCAGGGTACGTACTGCTAAATGCTTCAGAACAGCAGAAAACGGCAGGCAGATATATCGCTGGAGGTACAACAGAACGGTTCACGAATCACACTTGTGGTCAGTGTGCTGCACTTGTATGATTCTGCCCTGTAAAGTAAAAGATGGGCTTGGTTCTTAGGCAGTAGAGGTCAAACGCAGCTGGACCTACAGCTTCTCATTAGTGTGTAGAGAAGGGGGTAGATTTTTCGGGTATTTCCGTGGCGGCAAGTTTGTTCGGGTGTTTCCGTGCAGAATTCTAAAGGCTCGCTGGCTAGATGCTGATGCCCGGGACCAAGTTAGCGACGATGGAGCGTCGTTCAGACGCTGACAGACGTCGGATCCGTTAGTGGCGCCGTCCCGTTGGCGGGTTGCGAGGCTCCGTGTTGTTACGCGTGATTCTTTTGTTTTAACAGAAAAATTGACATGAGAATTTCTTTATCCTTGTGGTGGAAAGTTGTGGATGTGATTTATTTTAGTTAGTATATGTCGAATTTTCTTTTGTGTAAACGCGTGACGATTTTAGTGTTCAGTTAAAAAGATGTAATTAAATGATTAATTATTTTACTGATACATTCAACAGCTTTAAACTGTAGCTTTAGTTTCATCTGTATAGAAATGACGTGATACAGTGAATTTGAGTTTGTGCTCCGAGTAAACTTTAAACGAACGATTTCTGTACTTTTAGGAATTCTACGTCAAGACTGTTACTTGTAAAGTAATGAGAAAAGTTATTTTTTTACGATATGATGATAGATGAATAATAATAATAATATACCCGTAAAAATACATTAAACTTACTAAGATTATGTATTAGCGTAGTTAGTATAAGTAATAAACTGTTTAAATATTTTGTTATTAGAGTGCTGGATCAACAGCCACAAGTTATATTACTGAACTAAGACATCAAACAGGAATATGAGTGATTACAAAATAGGCTAACAGATACACGCAATTACGTACACTGCATACTATATTATGCCGATGACAAACGGCGTATTTGTGTGACACTTTAGGGAAGAGACCACTTAAAAGACGGGTGTAGATAGAAGGATAATTTAAAATGAATTTTCAGTACATAGAGTGTGAATTGGATTCATCTACTTAGTGCAGTGATGTTTGAGGATCCTGAGAACGCGGTAGTAACTCTTCGAGTTCCATAGTAATCGAGGAATTTTTTACTTTGCTGAGCAACTGTTATTAACTTCTAAAAATGGGCTGTGATCTATGAAGTCGATCAGGAAGCCTTTCGTTGGGAACACAGAGGGGAAATAGTGTTTGAATTTTATTTTACGATATAATACCACTTTCATTGAATAATTCTGGCTACGTATTGATTTACTACAAGTTTTCACAAGGTACTTACATATTTTCGCTGATTTAACAACAACTGAACGAAAGTTTGTTTACATTACCTTCATTATATAAAAAATTACAATTTGGATTCTTGTAAATAAACAGAAAATGGTAATTTCATGGTTATTTAAAGCCCTTTTTTCGATTGCATAAATATTGTCGAATTATAGGAAGTTATAAAAGTTGAATGGGGAACGATGTGGAAGAATAAGGTCGTGGCTTGTTTTGAGATAGTATTCTATCATATATCTGAAAAGACTGAGTAAAACCGCGGAAATTCCACCTTCGTAGCTTGCTATCTAAGTCAAGACTCGAAATCGGAAATTTCTGAATGGGAAACAGCTGTGATAACTACTGAATCGTGACTTTTCGGCACTGTGAGTACTCTTGCGTGCTAATAAATGCGTATGTATGGGCAAGATAATAAACTTGTATAAAGAAAATGTATGGTTTGCATTGAATAGGCCTGTTCCTCCACATGCGTATTTTTTACTTGTGGTTGCAGGATAAAATACAAACTCTTGGTATATGACAACCAATTATCGTACGGAAAGAAAAAACTCAGCTACCGATTGTAGCGTGTTTCAAATATGCGTCATAAGGTGGACAATGTTCAAATTAATTGCGTCCTTTGTTACAATATACTCTTTATAACTAGTAGAGATTATTTTGCTGAATGTTATATGAGCGGATAGCAATGTTTCATAATGGACAAATACTTTTGTTAATATTATATATGCAGGGGACTTTCTTTATCAAATACGTGTTTTATGCGGGTGACGTAGAATTGTGGTAAGAGGGTTTTAACAAACGAACAGTTACCTAACAAATACTTATAACATTTCGTTGGTTGAATTGAAAATCGGATAACATACTTGTTTGGTGTCAATACTAAACATAATCTGATATTTCCGTTGATTTATTTAAGTAATCGATCACGAATACTGCATATTCCTGAGAATCGTAAAAATGAACTTTATTTGTATTAATGTCTTTTCAATTTTAGGTTAACTAATTCTTATTATGATTTCCCCTGTCATTAATTAACTGAAATTATGAACTGAACACAATTCGAGTTGGTAAGTTCTTTTTCTTCTTCATTAACACTGAATAGGCCTCCATTTGTTTATGATGTAGGGTGGTTTATGACGGAGATACTCCACATTTCTGCTCAAAATATTTGAGTAATAGCAACACATCAGTCATAGTTGTCATGGTAATAATGATAGTAATTCTTTACGCAAATGGATAGTCGATACTCTATAATGGTTAACCATTGGTTGTCTTGACGCCTCGTTTAGTGTAAAAGCAAGGCGCAAATTATGGCAGAAAAAAGAAATTACAAGAATTCTGCTTCATTCAAGAACCAGCCGTTTTCCACACATTAGCTAGTCAATATATTATGAACAAATAACTTAAAATGCTGAGCGAAATACAATTATGTGACTTGTAAACGCGCCATAGTAAATGCCACTGTAGATGTGTCATTGTTTTAAAATGTCAGTGTATTGAGATGTTTATTAACGGATTCATTATAATAAAATTCTTATGTAAATTCTAATAACGCGTAAGTTGTAAGCACGTGTTACGTGTGAGTAGATGAATTTATCATAAATACCAATATTAAGTGCGGAGAATATTAAATTATTCATATTCGTCAGTTATTGTTAACTGCTTTGGAGTAAAGTGAAATGCAATAATTTAACCGAATTGAGTTATTAAGCGGTGAAGTGTATCGTATATTGAACTTTGCAGTATTAACTGTACCGGAATGTTTGTTAGCAGAAAGTACAACAGATTTAAGCTCCTAAAGTGAGGAAAGTAGAGGGATTATGTTCGTTCTCTATACACCGCTACTAGTGAATTTCTATCCTGTACAGCTTAAAGCTATGGAGAACGTAGAAGGATTACGTATTTCATATGTAATTTTCTAGAGTATTTTAAGTGACTTACTTTATTTCTGCACGTAATGCTTGTTCTGTTTCGTGTAAGGTAGTTCTTATTTGCATACTTCTTTTTGCAGTGTCAGTTTCAAGGGGTGTGTATATACCAGTATCAGAAATATTTGGATTTACTAAAAGTAAAATAATCAATTCTTCTCTCAATTTAGTTAAGTCTACATATAACTGTACGTTATGTGGCTAGTGAAATTTATGGAATCTTTAATGTAGGTAATGAGTGTAACGTAAAGTAAAGTTTAGAAGATAAAAATAACACGTATTTTGACTGTGAAGCAGATAGCAATTACTAACAAATATAAACAACGTATGCTTTATATTTAATACGAGTAGTTTGTAAGTCCATCTATTTGTGATGTAACACGTACTCAAATATGGCGCCTAAGTACAATGTCCGTAAGAATTTAGTGATAATAAATTCATTGTTATATTTTCAGTAAATTTACATTTTAAAATTATGTTATATCCAAACTGAAATTTACTAGTGTGCTTATAATGCAGTCATCCCTGAAACATGCAGCGGTAAAATGAAATTGAACGATGGCCAAGAAAATATACGATGTAACAGTTGAACTGATATCACTTGAAAAATAGTACATCTGACGCTGTATGATTGAAATAAATTGTCACCTTCTGCTAGAACTTTGATAAATGTCATGACGTTTTGCAACAAGTATGTGGACAAGAACGAAATAAGTGACTCGCGTTATTGTGAATGGATGCGATTTTGTGATATTGACGAGACAAAGAGGTATTCTTAAAATGGAAATACGTGTACACAAATTATGCTTTTGAATGTAGGATACTGATAACGTATAGAGGGAGTAATTCGTAGTCTTTTAATTTCCTCATCGAACTTTGGACGAATCTGAGTTCAGGGGACAATATGAAAGGTCGCCTGCTATCGATTAGTGTCGTGGTATGGACACGTAACGTTTCAGCGTTTGTTGTGATGAAATATGTGTAGTGTGGATGCAGAATGATCGAAGTATCATTTAATAGGCAAGGTTAAAAAACTGTTGAATATCACTGCATAGGCCACTTCGTGACATTTGAAACAATGAAATGTTGCTTCATGATTTATGATGCATGAAGTTAAAACAGAGAATATATACGGCTCTGATGGTGATTGTATTGCATTATAGTTTATAATGTGAATATTTCGAATCATGAAGTAAGTATATTATCTGGAGACGTTTTGTTTGGAATGTTAAATATCATATTTGGTCTAATGTTTGAACATTTCAAGTTACCTCAGAATATTTGAAAAAAATATATGTGAGATATATTTTATTAATCACAGCCTGTGTAAATTGGCTTGGAACATTATCCTTATCTAATTGTTGTTTAATTGTGTGTTATTTACGTGAGTAGAGATCTAGCAGTTGCATTTTAAGGCAGCTAGTAGCGCGGTTTAATTTTGGGATGCGATCACACACTGTAGACAAAGGGATATTAGGTGTGAAGACTGATGACGTATGATGCTAGTGAAAGGATCCGGTGATGAAAGGAGTCCTCGGAGATTTCAAGAATAAGTTTAGTGCGTGCTGTGCCGCGTGACATGATGCAGATGGAAGAATGTTGTCGTGCGGCCATTACGCTGAACCCCTCCGCTGCTGGATCGGGGAACAGTGGAGCCCCTGCGCAATGGGACGTCGAGATGGATATAAGAGAACACATTCAACAGTGTTCCTGCACTTGCAACCACATGGGTTATGGAAACTTCATGGACTACCAGGTCAGCTTCTAAAATTGCATGTATAATTTTTTTTAATCTTTCGGTGGTTAAAAATTCTATGTTGATTTTTGTTGTGTTACTCCATACTGAGAGGTCAGTAGTTTAATCCACGGAAATAGGCAAGCTTGTCCGTCATTTTAATGACGCTCAACCTGGGATCTTCATAAGCATGACATGAAATAGTCGGATTTGAGGTTTTTACGACGGTGAGTCTGAAGATGACTGTCTTCTGGGTTGTTGCGCCGTGTCGTCTGTTAGACGTTTATCGACGTTTCAGAGGTCCTTGTGATGTTCTCAGATGGTCACCAATCCAAGCAAGCGTAGCTGAAAAAATCTAAAATGACAATATGGAGTGGATTAAGCTGGTTTATAACCAGATTCAGTGTTGAGCATAGCTTGTGTAAGGATTTCATTGACCATTACAATAGTTGTAATACCACAGCGCGGTTGATTGTAGCGCCTACCCAAAATTTTATCTCACTGTACTCAATCTTGACTTCCCGGAATGGAAATCAAGACACTATAACCTGAACGTGATACTTGCTTCAGGGTTTCTTTTGGCGCTGTTTTGCAAGAGACAACTGACGAACTAATGTAAACTACCTGTTACTTTGCAACCAGCCTGTCAGAACTTTCCTGCAAAGTTTCGCTTCTCCGTATTAATGGGTAGAAACTTGATCTTAATTGTTATAATAGTTCAGACAGAAGGGCAGATACAATAATCCATTGTTGCGTTAGTGATGTTATTGTAGATTATCTTGGGATCATCTACATTTCCGGAATTGACTGTCATTCTTGTTCAATTTTGGAATGTAAATAACAGAACTTTATAGTAAAAAAGAAGCCTGATTTAACCCTGTAAACGGCTAACCTTTTCTAAGTACAGAAAACCTTTTTATGATGGAACTCAAAGCGATCTGAAAATGTTTTCTTTTTTGGCAGGTTTCTGTGTAGTACACGTTGCTTCCATGTAAAAAGTAATGTTCACTAAATTCACTACTAATAATTTCATGTTACGTGTGGACATTGTGTAGTTACTCTATATTTGGACTTTTTTTATTCCTTTCCCAAATTAAATTTTGTTTTGTCGATTCAAAGGGCTATCATTCACAAATTACGAGTGTAGTTGAGAGATGAATCGAATTTAAAAGTATCCACTGTTCCAATTAGCCACTCCCGCTTAATAAAAACACATTAGCGTACAATATATTACGTATGAGAGACATGAGGAATGCGTACGAATTGTTAGTCGGAAAACCCGAAGCAAGGATTCCACTTGGGTGATATAGTCGGAGATAAGAAGATAATAATAAAATGGAATCTAAAGATTTGGGATTTAAAACTGTGAACAGCATTCGGTTGGGTCAAGATAGGTTATCGTTTCAGTGTTGGGCTTTTGGGATCACGAACCTGAGATTTTGGATTTATTAAATGGAGAGGGATTTCTTGAGTAGCTGAGGGACTGTTAGCTTCTCAGTAAGAACTCTCTTCCATTAATTTAGAATGCATGATTCCAAACTCTGAGCGTAGCAACTATTAATACAAGCGAAATATATTTTCCCATTTCATATGTTGTGTGGTCAACACCAAACATTGACATCTGTTTGTTCTACTTAGTTGGCTGTGTTAAATAGATCATTCCAGAAGCGACGTTTTTACGTGTTGTTTTATTTGATTATACAGTTCTGTATCACCTGTTTGCCTAAGTGCAAGGGGAAATACATGAACGCGGACACTGGCCGGAAATGTTACAAACAATTAAAACAGGAAGGAACTAGAAAGTTCGTTGTTTTGTTCTGTTCTGTACTCTCATGTGTTCCTGTCTTTAAGGTATCAAATAAGAGCAAAATTATTAACATGTCTGAATAATCGACTGCCTTCCGCTGATATTACTTGTATAGACGTTAAGTAATTAACTGAAATTAAGCTAAATCAAATATAAAACTACGTAACCAGTTAATCAACTAACATTCTAAGTAGAGCTGGCTCACCAACTACTTGAAAAATTCGGTTAACCAAAGAACTAATTAAACTAACCTACCAACTGACAAACTTGGTTCTGTCTGTCTGTCTTAAGGCTCACGATCATTTTAATAATTTTATAATCTCGAGTTTTGTGGGACGATTCCTGTTGTGCGTTGATCGTAACGTTTCTGAGTGATTACACAACAAGAAGAAATCCAGAAATGTGCAATAAGAAAGCTTAATTCTACCTCAAAGACATAACTCAAAGGGCTTTAAACTAATAGACAATTTGAACATTCTAATGATTTTGTTAACATCTTAGGAAATATCCATACAGCCTATAATCTACTCCCTTCCATTTCAGTACTTGCTTTTAAACCCGAGAAAAAATATGTTTCTACTGTAGGTCAAACTTCCTGTGTTTTCAGGTACATACCTGTTACGAATAATTGTTAAGCAATCGCACGAATTCGTGCAAATGTTATCTGTTTCAAATATTTATACTTTATTAATAATGTGTTAGTTTCTAGCACCACCAAAAGATGACAAATTAAGGTCGAAACATGTAGTTAATAAACATTGAGACTATAGTCAAAAACTGTTTTGTGGACGGACTGTCAATCAAACTATAATATCAAATTACCTATTCATGTTGTTTGAACGAAAACTTTATAGTTGATTAAGGATCGTCAAATAGCTTGCTCCTTATTTACCTACATTACAGACTGTGATCTGTTGCGCATGAGGTCCCAGTTTTCATCTGTTATGAATTTACGTAGTTGTTATAAACGAACGATTTTATTCGGAAATTAATTAATTAATTAATTAATTTTTGTTGTTGAAACTGGCATTCAGTTAGCATTCATCCACACGCATTATGAATATAGGATGCAGAGAACAGTAATAAATGAACTTCCATTTTACCGTACACAAATTTTTATGGTGATTATACTGATTGCTCTCCAGCTACTGTATGATATTTGTGCTAGGGAAATGTAACACGGTTAATTTATGATATTGCATTCAGTCAAAAAACAGGTTGTGGAGATGCAATGATTTTTATTTTCGCCAATACTATTTACAGTCCTACCCAGGGCAATACTTAGCCTTTTATACAAAGAGGACCGTGGGATTTTACCAAAGAAGCTAGCTCTGTAATGCCCACGTTTAGATTGAGAAAAGATTTACCTCCGCTACCCCCTGGCACTTGCACGGCGTTATAATTAGACGCAGGGAGGATTCCCTTGCCACAGCCACAACAGAAGAGCCTTGTTAGCCGATTGTGGTCGACTCATTTACCCTGGAGTTGCGGGTTTAGATTTGGTCCTGCTTTATTTAACGATGCCTTATCATAGGTGATATAATGTAGAACACTGTGGAATTTATTAATTATTAGTTATCTGGAAGTGAGTGTTGTCTATTTTTTGACGTAAATACGTCTATATTTTCGGGTCAGTGTCATTCGGCAAAAAGTGAGACGAAAAAGTGAAACGAAAAAGTGTAACTGCATTATGTTACCTTGGAGACGTCAATTGTTTACTCGGTATTATTGTTACCAAGGAAACGTTATCTGTTGTTACCTATAAAACATTACATTACCTTAACTTACCGTTCATTACATTACATTACTTTACATTACATTCAGCTACCACAGACCCATCTTAAGCGTAACTAATTCCAGTTAAATAAGCAAAGTCTTAATCAAACTTTACTCAATTGTAAAGCATGTATAAAGGAAATATTTAGAATAAAGCCAATATATGAACTTCCTTTCCGTATAGACGTATTTACGTCTAATTCTCCGGAACCGTGGTTCCACTATCACTTTTTGTTTTCCGAACATTTTCATGGATGCACGGAGGGAGACTACCAAAATACTCATTAAGTTGACCCATTCTGGGGGCTGAAATTGGAATCGGAAAATTCCTGTAGATGTAACACGCATTGACGCGCATATACGCACACACATATACACTTATTATTATTATTATTATTATTATTTAGTGTTCTGCCTTACGACAGGTCCATTGCTCTGCCCAAAAAGAGCTCTCAGCTCTCCAGTTTTCCCTATTCTCGGCTTCTCGTTTTAATTCCTGGAACGTCATCTTCTTTCCTTGTTTCCTTGTTTAAGATCGTACATATACACATACATACAAAATACCAATTCATAACAAGAGTACACATTCTTACTCCCACATAAATTATATTTTATTTAATAAACTGCAAAATTGCTCAGATGCTGTCGTACTTAACAGATGAATCTGCATTGTATGTGTAATAACACTCAACCTACATACATACAGTTATACGCACGTATTTTGTGTTATGATACAAAATAGTTTTTGGTTTGCCTCGTATCTGTTAGGAAAGTGCCAGAAACAGCTGAGCCGCTGTACTACACGGAGTAGTTTTGTTTTGCTGGGTAGTTTTCACGTTAACAACGATAGGTTGCGGGTTAAAGCGTTGGGACAGTTATGAGATCACTCTGATACGAACCCGCTTATTACACATAGCGATTTATGTGTTCAGGCTGTCATACCAACGCACGCAGACCACAACGCAGCGAAAAGCAAATCAGTCAGGGTTTGTATTTCATGATGAGATTCATAATGCCCAGCAGTTTATATCCTCATGAAACACCTGAGTTCATAAATGCGTTGTTTCAGTAGCCAATACGTCCATGTACAGAAATCACTATTTACCTGTGAGTAAAATAAATGCTCTGATGACACTCCTGAATCACGCTGTTGACTTGTAGCTAAATATCAGGTGACTAAGATGCGAAATTTTAATAAATATATGACTTATAGATCGCCCATCTCTCAGATGTCTCGTTCAGCTATTATTTTATAGTTGTATAGTTTAACAACGATTTTTGAAATGCAGAACGCCGTGTAGATCTGTGTAGGTCTGATAACTATCGAGACTTGAATTCAACGGTATCAGTTCCGTTCATGACCATTGTTCCGGGCTGCCTTCTTCGGATTTTTTTTATTTTTCCCATGTTCAAATTTTACCGTAATCAAATTGTAACC